TCTGTACAATAAACCCAAGGACCTTTTCTCAAAGGGGCAAGTAAAAAGAGCACTGGAGGATTTGCACTGTGGTATTAGAGCCTCCCATTTTCTTCTACCACACACACAAAGACACCCTTCCTCATCCTCATAGCATGCATGCAATTGTGTTACTTGATGAAAGGGAGCATTCAGTGGTTCACATTGTTGAGTACTGAGTCCTCCACTACCTTAAAACTATGGCCAGATTTTACTTAATAGAATTTTCTTTGGAATTCAGCATCAGTAATTCTTTCTCTGAAAGGTGAGTTTAATAGTCATGGATATTGTTAAAATAATTTAAATTTTTATTTTTCAATGAGAAATTAAAAACAAAAGAACTATTCTTACCAAATTTAGCTCTTGACCTCTGCAGAGACTGTGGCCTCAACAAGAAATGCATTACAGAATGGTCATTCTGGGCACCATACCAGGCTTCCCAGAAGTCCTCAAGGAGGATATAAATGGTTTAAGCCCCTAAAATAATTGGTAAGTTTGTGTAATTGAGAATATGAAAAGGAAATCTGCAAAAATCAGCCAGATACTCAGATTGGATGAGGTTAATAATACCATCATCAAAAGTGACCCATGCATTAAAGAAAAGAATATGAGTAGAATATCCCATGTGGGATGGGATGCCAAATTTGAGGGACCCTAGATGGCCAGTGGAGAGCATTTCAGTTATGAAAAATTATTCAGAAAAGTGGGAAATATATTAAGTGATGGAAGGAAGACAAGGCAGTCTGCTTCCATAAAGATTTACCACCTCAGAAACCCAAAGGGGGTCACTATGAGTCAGAATCAACTCTATGAAAATGAGTTTGTTTTTTTTTGGTATATTAAGTGAAAATGTAAATCCAGAAATGGAACTTATAATTACAATATATAAATATTGTTTACATAAACATAAAAATTAAGTAAATCAGGAGTGAGCACTTGCTATGGATTGAACTGTTTCCCCCAAAAAATATGTGTTGTAAATCTTAACCTCCATTCCTGTGATTATGATCTGATTTGAGTATGGGTTGTCTTTGTTATGTTTATGAGACAGGATTAGAGTAGGGTGTATCTTCAGTCACTCTCTTTTGTGACATAAAAGAGATTAAAAGCAAGCTAGCAGAAGAGATGGGGGAAGACATAGGCCAAGCCATATGAGCAGGTCAGAATAGACAAAGACTTTACTTCAGAGCTGACAGAAAGGTGTCCCCTAGAACCAGCACATTGAATTCAGACCTCTAACCTAAACTGTAGGAAAATAATTTTCTGTTTGTTAAAGCCATCCACTTGTGGTATCTCTGTTAATAGCAGCACCAGATAACTTAGGCAGCAGTAATGAAAATCAATGTTATCAGGAGGGACTGGTCCCTGGAGAAGGGCATCGTGCTTGGCAAAGTAGAAAACCAAACCAAACCAAACTCATTGCTGCTGAGTTGAATCCGACTCACAGCGACCCCTTCTTGAGTTTCCGAGGCGGTATCTCTATGGAAGTAGATTGCCCAGTCTTCCTTCTGAGGCGTGTCTGGTGGGTTTGAACCACCAGCTGTCTGGTTAGCAGTCAGGTTAGCAAAAAAGAGGAAGATCCTCAAATAGTTGGATTTTAAACAGTGGCTGCAATGATGGGCCGTATATGGAAACAATTGTGAGGATGTCACAGAACTGGGTAGCATTTTGTTCTGTGAAACATAAGGTAGATATGAGTTGGACCTGACTCAGTGGTACCTAACAACAACAGTAACAACATTTCTTCTGTTTTTAAATAATATGTAACATAAAACTCACTGCCGTCCAGTTGAACCCAACTTATTGCCACCCCTCCTTGGATTTCTGAGACAGTATCACTACAGAAGTAGATTGCCCAACCTTCCTTCTGAGGAATGGCTGGTGGGTTTGAACCGCCAGCCTTCTGGTTAGCCGTCAGATGCCTCAGGCACCATGCTAGAAAAAAAAACACATAAAAAAGGGTTTGTAAATCTGTAAATTTACAAATTTAAATATTTTTAAAATTTGTCAAAGGGATTGCTATTTAGTTAAAGTTAATAGAAAGAAAAGATGTAGCATAAATGAGAATTTCAAACGCTAATTTAAATTTTATTTCATAATATTTGACAGAAATTTTTTAAAATTATTTTCACAGTTCTCTTTCCTAATTCTGATAAATACAACATTCTTTTTATTATTTCCTTTCCATCGATTTGACCCATAGCAACCCCTAGTTGGGTTTCTAAGGCGGCATCTCTATAGAAGTATTGCCCAATCTCTGTATCTTTTACCATTTATCTTTAATTCTTCTTTCTTATGATGTCCTCAAACCACAGGAATTTTGTCTCGTTGACACAGGACAATGGGAAATCATGGAGAAGAAAATACAGGCAAGAACTCAACAAAATAATGAAAGACAGGTAGCTTTTTGGTAAGTTCTGGGTTTTCATTATTGCAAATCATGAGAATCCACTTAGGTTAGATTACAAAGTATATTTCTTTTCAGTTATTGTCTTATAATAAATACCCAGAAATGGGATTATTTAAAAAAATTATCATATTTTGTCAATTATCTCCCTGACGCTTGATCCAATTTGTGGGAGTACTAATTCTGATAGTGAAAAATTATGAACAGTTAAATGTTCAAAAGTAATGGATGATTAATTAAATTGAATCCATCAATGCATTAAGCAGATTTCAAAAATTATGTTTGTTAGGAATGTGATAAAATGTTTATATTTAAATGTAAAATAAAAATACCAACCAAAAAAAACCTAAACTCATCACCATTGAGTCAATCCAAATCACAGAGACCTCCATTGGGTTTCCAAGGCCTTAAATCTTTACAGAAGTGTACTGCCTCATCTTCCACACAGCAGCTGGTGGGTTCGAACCACCAACATTCTGGTTAGCAGCCAAATCCCTTAACCATTACACCACAAAAGATAGCAGGGTTAAAATGTATCTACACTGTGATAAAAGCTATATTAAAATACATCCAGGGGGGATATCCTGGAAAGAAATATACCAAATTTCTATTAGTCAATGTATGTGAGAGCAGCCAGATATAAAACGAATGTTTCTTTTGAATCTTCAAGTGTTTTCTGTTTTCAACACATTTATATAAGTTTTATTTACAAACAAAGTAAGTCATTATTTTACTTTACTTACACCACTGTCACAGCACTTTTTATGTACTAAACAGGTGTTGGTTGTATTCCTATTCTACTTGCCCTGGTTTCTTTGGACAGGGAAACTAAATTATATTTATCTCTTGTTGCCTAGGCCTATTCATTACAAT